TTTTTACTCTTTTACATTTTAAAAATATATAAAATATATTTAATACTTGTTTTAATCAATATTTTACATATTTTTAAAATAATAAAAGGACATAAAAACTAAAAATTGACGAATCGAAAAGCTTTCTCCAACGAAGCCTATATATCCAAGTGCTTCCAATCTAGCATGCAAGATCTTCATCCTTCTTGTTGATTTTGTGTTTTTCTACACGATCTTGGTCCAAGATATGACCTCTGAAGCCATGCTAATTAATATCCCCACTGCCCAAAACTGTAGAGTTTTAAATTCAATTGTAGTGGATAGCCACAGATATTTGGGAAAGGACGTAGGAAACCGAATCCACCAAAGCACATAACAGATTACCACATTTAACCAGTCTCTATAGTATAGGCGAGGTTCCAAACCAACCAATACCACAATACTATATGTGACAATAGATTTCAAAGACAAAATCATGCTTGTGATTCCTTTAGCATTTGTGGAGGGCAGTGATAGATCTATGGGTAAAAATCTTCGTAACCAAAAACAAAAAATTATATAACTGATTATTGCAAATAACCAGTCTTTATAATCAGCCACAGCATATGTATGAAGAGCAAACAAAAACACGCCTTGTGCAACATTTACAATGGCTAAAATCCAACTGTCAATTCTTCTGGTATTTGTAGGGGCCAATGAGCTATCTTGGGAATTGAACTTACATAACCGAACACACCAAATAATAATACAAATTGCCTTAGCTAACCAATCTCTATAGTTAGACAAGGGAGGTTTGACAACAAAAGATGAAAGGAAAGATCCTGCAAAATTTGCAGAACTTGATGAAAGTAACCAAAACAAGCTAGTGCTTCTAGCCATGGTATTTGTTAAGGTCAATGATTGATCTTCTTCCAAATCCAACCAATACCAATCTAACCAACTTTTGAAACAAATCAACACAAAACAAATGGAGGCAATTATCCATGAGGGAAACATGAACTTGAACCGATTGTAAGTAATCGATCCAATGACTCCAATGATGAAACTAAACAACCCAAGGTCGGTCCGCGGTTGTAATACAACTAGTATACATAAAAGAAAAATTGCGATGCACAACATAGCAATGAGGGTCCTTAACGAATTATCATAAAATCTTGCAAAAACAAGTGCTAGAATAAATAAGGTGAAGTTTGATGTTGAATTTGTTGTGCAGCTACACCTTCCACGTAGAATTTTGAGTTGACTCCAAAGGTTCGAACGAGTTAGCAGGTCAACGGCAACATGCAACAATAATAGTCTTTTGGCCCCTCTTTTATCATATTTTGAATTAAAATCTATATCCAGCAAGAGAAATGCAGCGAAGAAGAGAGCAAGCTTACCAATCAACCTGGCCTTTAGTTGACACTTTGTTGCTTCATTGTTGAGATGCGTTTGGAGGACTTCAGATAGATTCTTCATCTTCTCATTAATCGGATCTAGCAAAGCTCTCATTGCTAATTGGCAATAAACCTTGAGCATTTTCCATTGATTACTCAACTCCTCTTCAATCCAATCCTGTAAAAATATAACCCCGAAGATAAGACGAATAACTGTCAATAGCGGATGAAACTTAACAAACATCCTCACAATTTTCACAATTTGTGGCACTGCAGTTGAATCTCTCATATCTTCCATTGTGGAGAAATATGAGGAAAAACTAGCAGCACAGGTGGTTTATTCCCTATTAGTTGATTCTTCGGTGTATAAAAAAAGCTTGTTTTCCTCTGGAGTACTGGTGAAGAATTCAAAAATAATTTGATGTGGGGAGTGGGGACGTAGGTCCTCCGTGTACTTTGATTTTTTTTTTTTTTTTAATTCCGTCGACTTTGATTAATATTAGCATTGACGGTCACTCTCTACCAACGAAGCCATATTCATTTTCTTCTTGTTTGAATGTTGTCCACAAGTGGATTCTTAAACAAATAGGATTTTTCTAAAATATGCACATAATTAATATTTTTTTCCATTAATTAATATTAAAAATAACAAAAATTAATATTAATTTCATCTTTAATATTGTACAAATCATTTTATTTAATGAGTTTTTTAATTTGTGTGTTAAGGGCACAATTAAGAGTATTTTTTATTATAAATACATATAAAAATATATAAATTAATATTAATTTTAATATCAGTATTAAGAAAATTAATTTAATTCAATAGTTGATCAATTAAAAATTAATTTTTATTTTTTCAATATAAATTTATAACAAAAAATATATTTAATACACTCTTAATCCATACATAAATACACAAGTTAAATAAATCCTTAAATAATGGGCTATCAACTTTTATTTCTTTAATAATAATTACTATAAAAAATATCCTTAATTTATACTATAATAGCATATATTAAAAAACTCAATTATAGGGAATGCTTTATCCAACAGCGAAGAAACGGATTACGTTGTTATACCAAACAATTCTTTAAAATTAATTTATTTATTTATTTAATATTTTTAATAATATGTTTCAAAAACAAATGAAATTAAAGAGTTTTTTTTGCTTAAAATAACAAAACTTATAAAAATTAAAATAAAAAAAAATCATAACCATATTAAATAAAACTAAAATATTCAAATTTATTTCCAGTTTAATATTAGTATTGAAATTTAGTGTGGGTGCCGGTCCATATGAGGTGGATTTTCAAAGTCTTCTTTGGACTTAGATTAGTGTTGTAATTTGACGGTTAACTTTCAAGCGACGCGTTGTCTCATGGCCACCATATATCATCAAGAATTGTCAAAAAAAGGAACCCAGCTTAACCCATTATGGCTTCTCTTGAAAGCGCCTTTGATATTTACTGGTTAACGGTTTTTGTGGACTTGGATTAGTATTGGGGTAGGTATTAGGGTGATTATGTTCGCCCATTATTTTGTTAAGATTAATTAAAAGTTAAATATTTAATTTAATTAATATTTAATTTAATTTTTTTAA